TGTTCTTTGCGCACGTAAAAATTTTCTATGTCGCCACCATTATCCTTGATAAAGAAGTAGTGATTTTCCGGCTCGTGATCTTTTCCACACACTCACGGCCCCGTCGGGTACTCTGGCTGGAATTTTTCCAGGATGGGCACGATGGCTTAGCGTCCAGCCCCTGGTGGCCGTCCAGCCTCCTCTGTCCACCAGCTGCGAAGCTCCGATGCGTTTTGGGGCTTCTGCCTGCTTCCGTGCGGCCCCCGCTCAGGCAGGCACCCCAGCCCAGCCCCTCCCTCCTCTCCTTAGGGTGGGAGACTGGGCCCAGGCTCGTCCCCACACGGCTCCATCCCTTCCCACCTCAGGCTGAGTGGGTGCTGGGAATGATGGCCTTGAAGCCCCTTCCAAGAGAGAGACAGAGCAAGGGGCAGACCGCTCCGCTTTCTCTCTGCCGTTTCTTAACAATGCGCCATCTTGCCCAAGCCAAAGCCCTATTCTTTCCCGCATTCTCGCTTAGAAAGCAGCCAACAAAGGGCTTTTTGTCTCGTTGGCATTTTTTTTTGCAAGCCTCAGTTCATCCTGGATTTTAGCTCTCCTGACACTATTCTTTGAGATGAGCCTTTTGTTACACCGTTCTCTCCCCAGCTTTCCTGTGATAGGCAGACCCAGACACACACCCTTGCTTTCACACACACACACACATGCACACGCACATACACGCACGCACGCACACACATGGTCTTGCACTCAACGCTGGAGACTTCACAGATCACCCACCTAGGCCCCCAGGGCCTGGCTGGAGCATGGTGATGACCGAAGTCAGCACAAACCCAGGGACAGAAGGGCTGCCCGCACGGTGGGCGCGGGGTGTCAGCAGGGGCCCTGCCACCGTGTTGGTGGCTGAATCTGAGCAGGACATGGCGGGGGGTGTGGCCTCTGAGCTGTCACCCTCCCCCACAGCGCAGACGCTGACCGGCCCCCAGGCCCCCGAATCTTCAGGCTGTTCGCGGTCTCCCCGGTGTCTCTGGGTAGCTCTGTGTGGCTGGGATCCTGGCACGCAAGGCTGGCAAGGGCATCGTGTTTCCATCTGTTTTCCACATCGCCCTATTTCAGCCTTATCACAGCCCACGGCTCGTTCTCTGACCAGTTGGCTTTAAATAGCAAAAGAGAAAAAACAATGCAATGCACTTTGTGGTTTCCAGTGAGATACCGTAAATACACCCAGATAATATTCCGGTGCCAGCCGCGGTGCGCAGGCGGTGGGTGGAATCTTTCGGGCGGCTGGGACACCGGCGCGTTTCCTCTGTCCCTGTTGCCGGGTGGAGGGCGTCGGCCGCTTCGGGCCCGGCCTCCTCCTCGGGGACGGCCTGCCCGAGCCCTGTCACCGGAGCCTCTTCACTCTGGGGCAACTCCGGGTTCCCAGGGCGAAGGCGAAGGCTCGGGGAGGACAGAGCAGCATCTCAGCCAGGGTGGAAGCAGCCCAGCCTGCGCCCCGGCCACTTCACCCAGAGCTGCGGGGGCTTGAGGGGTGCACCCCGGATCCCCGACTCCAGTCTCTCTCCTGAGACCTGGTGACCCTGGGGAAACCTGAGCCTGTCATTCTGGGGGAAGCCCCCAGACTTTCTGCCCACCTCTGATTTAGGGGCAGCAGAGGGCTCTGACCTGTGGGTGCGTGTGTCAGCGTGGAGGGGCGGGGCTCGTGCGTGGTGTCAGGGAGCCAGGGCAGGGTTTGGTGGAGGGTCTTCCTGTTCTCCTGGGGGTGGGGAGGGTTTTCTTCTGGGCAGGGTCCCCAGCCCCTGGGAGGAGCAGCCTACCACTGAGGGGGTGCAGCCAGCCCCCTGAGAGGCCTGGCACAAGGCTGGGCTGTGAGCCTCAGAGGTCCCATCACCCCTCAGTGCTGTGGAGAGGCGCCGCCCGTGGCCAAGGCACACGTCAGCCGCCCCGCGTGCCCCCACGCACCTGTGCCACTCATGTCTCTCATGGGACCCTCTGCAGCCCGCGCCTCTCCCTGCAGCGGCCCCCAGGAGGCAGAGGCGGCTCGGGGGAACCGGGAAGGGGCGGCCAGCGGCTGGGGAAGGTGTGGCGCGGAGCTGGACCAGGAAGGGGCGGCCAGTGGCTGTTTCCTCCAGGCATGGGTCCCAGCTCTCCCGGGAGTCACCGCATCTCTCCAGCCTCAGTCTCCACACCCTGCCCGGGATGAGGGGAGGAGTTTGTAGGTGGATGGCCTGTAGGCTTCTCACGCCGCAGGCACAACCTTAAGGTTGCAGGACTCTGCCCGTTTCTGTCCGCCCTCATACCCCGTCTCCAGCTGGGCAAGCTGCCATGTTTAAGTGCTTCTAGCTGACAAGTGAACGCACCTCTTGACAGGACTTCGAAGCATTGGAGGAGTCGTGGCCTTGGCCAGAGGAGTCCCTGTCCGGGTGGGGCTGGGACGGGCGAGAGCCCCAGGGCTGGCTGAGGGCTCAAGGCCTCTTCCCTCGGGAAGGGATGGCTGCGGAGTGCAGCACAGAGAGCCAGGCGGGGGCGCCACCCGGCACGGGCTCGGCCCGCTCCCCGTCCTCCATCCTCCCACCCTGCGATCCCCCCAAAGGAGCTCGCTCTCCTCTCCCAGACAGGGAGGCCGTTAGCTCACGAGAGGATGGAGCCCCGCGCTCTTGCAGCGAGCGGCCGGCGCAGGCGCAGGCGGGGACCCAGGCTGCCCCCACCGCCTGCCTTGTCCTCTGCGCGCTGTGCCAGACCCGGTGGCCCACCTCGGACACCTGACGGGAACGGTGGCTGGGACAGAAGCCAGGGGCACCAGTGCCACCCCAGCTGGCTGCCAAGCCTCGCCTGTGCGGTCACGCCAGCTCGGGGGACCTGGAGAGCCTGGGCGGTGCCCACCAGGATGGAGGCCGTGGGGGCCCTGTACAGAGTGCCGGAAGCCCTGGGCTGGCGGTGGCCAACCTGCCCTGGCCCTGAGCCCAGAGGGAGTGGGACGCAGGGGCTCGCCAGGCTCAGGCAGCACAGGTGCACGCACCCCTGCACCTTGGAGTCGTTTAATCCCTGGGACAACTCTGCCACTTTGGGGGAGCAGGGGCGGTGAGCAGCAGGGGTGCACCGCCCGGCCAGGCCCTCCTCCCTGCCCACCCCGACCCCGTCCTCGGCTGTAGAGACCCGAGCTCTCCAGGTCTGTGGGGACCTGCCATCCCCAGTGTCTGGGGACATTTTGCCCAGACAAGCTCTGTGCAGACTCTGCCGCCGGCAATTCGTGCTGCTCCTCACTGCCAGCGGAATAAAATGGGTCTGATGGTCCCCCCCGTTTTACAGTGGAGCATGGAGAGGCAGCTCACCCGCCCTGGGCCCAGCCGCCATCCGTGGCACAGACCTCCCCGGCTGCCTTTCCTCCGTGCCCTCACCCTGCTGTGTCTCTGCTCTCTCGGGGCTGTGTTGGGAGCTCTGCAGTCTGTGGGGTGCTTTGTCTGAAGCCCCTCCAGGGTCTCGGGGAGCCGGTCGTCCGTGGCCTTGCAGGGGTAAATGTGGCCTTCGACCTGTGCGGAGGCAGAGATGTGGCCGGCAGTCCCCTGGAGGCGGCAGGTCCCCCGCCCTGCTTGCTGGCCATCTCCTCGCTGCCGTGTCTCCTTGCATGTGTCCCCTCCCTGCGACGCTTCCCATCAGGTGCTGGCTCTCCCTGCCCAGCCACACCCGCTTCCTGCCCTGGTCAGTCCCTCATCCCGAGCGCCCGGCCGGGCGTTGCTGGATCTTACACGGCATGCTTGATCTCACGCAAGAAAGGTGTTGTCAGGTTTCATGACTATACCAGCAGCTCAGGCTGCGTGTGTGCCCCCCCCAACTACACCAGCAGCTCAGGCTGCGTGTGTACCCCCCCTGACTACACCAGCAGCTCAGGCTGCGTGTGGACCCTCAGGACAGCCTGTAGGTTACACCAGCACCATGGTATGCACAGGCTGTCTGTGAGTCTGGCGGCACAGCCCTAGGCCGGGCGGGGGGTGGGGTGGGAGGAGGTGGGCAGAAGGATGTACTGAGCACCTGACGGGCAGTGTGAACTAGGGCCCAGAGCCAGTGGCGTCCCCTCCGTCCCTCCGTGTCCCCCCTCCGTCCCTCCGTGTCCCCTCCGTCCCTCCGTGTCCCCTCCGTCCCTCCGTGCTCTCTGGGCCCGCGCCTCACCCACCCCATCGCAGCAGCGGCAGAACGCTGTTGTCTGCTCCGGGGCCTCTTCCCCCAGGTGCCTTCCCAGAGAGCCAGTGCACCGGCGAGGGGGCTGGGGCTGGCCCGGCGGCCCCTCGGGACCCATCCTGCACATGGCGCTCCCGCCCAGGGTCTCAGCATCTGTGTCCCTCACACAGCAGCATGGTGGCCCTGGAACCCATTTTGTGGAGAGAGAGTGAGGCCCAGAGATGCCAAGGCGAGGGGGCAGCACACCAGCACCCGCCCAGGACCCGCGCTGTGGTCAGGGGCCTCCACCGCCACCAGAGCTGGCCACGTCTAGCGGGGGACACACAGGGACACACGGAGACACCGGGCCACAGGCTCAGTGAGCCACGGCACAGGCTGTGAGGAGATCTATCCATACGCCCCATTTTACAGCCTGGGAGAACATGGGGGGGGTCACTGGCCACAATGACCCGGCCAGGGAGAGTGCCCCTGGAAGGAAGCCACCCCCTGGCCCCTGCACACCGCAGCCTCCAGAGACACTGTTTTGGGGTGCCATGAGCCCTGGGCAGGTTGGGGTGGCCAGGGAGGGGTGGTGGGTGGAGATGGGCTGGACTCCCCTCCCCTGGCTGCCAGGACCCGGGCAGCCAGCCTGTGCCCAGTCCCCTCCTGCATGGCCGACCCCCCGGGCACGCATGGAATGGGTGTGCACGTGACATGCGGGGTTTCCTGGCCCGTTAGAAACGGATGCTCGCTCGGTCTTCGGGCTCAGGATCCTGAGCTCCTGAGCTGGCTCCATCTTCTCCCGGTGCCTGGGGCAGTGGCCCCCACGGCAGCTCTACAGAGCTCTCTCCGCTCTTCTGCCCTCTCAGGGAGCCGCGAGGCCGCCTTCACCTACGCCATCATCGCGGCGGGCGTGGCGCACGCCATCACGGCCGCCTGCACCCAGGGCAACCTGAGCGACTGCGGCTGCGACAAGGAGAAGCAGGGCCAGTACCACCGGGACGAGGGCTGGAAGTGGGGCGGCTGCTCCGCCGACATCCGCTACGGCATCGGCTTCGCCAGGGTCTTCGTGGACGCCCGGGAGATCAAGCAGAACGCCCGGACTCTCATGAACCTGCACAACAACGAGGCCGGCCGGAAGGTAGGCGCCCGCGCTGCTGGCGTGCTGGCTGGTGCGGGTGACCCGCGGTGACTCGCAGGGCCCTGCCCTTCGCGTCCTTCTGCTAACGGTGTCGGTTGCTGCTGGGCCAGGATGTGTGTTTGGCGTGTATCTTGCTGGCTACAGCAGAGGGTGAAGAACCAAATCCCCATGAAAACAAATGGGCGATTGCTCAGGAAGATGGGAGAGGGCCGCATGTGGGCTCATCGCAGGTCCACGGGGTCGGGGCTGCGGCCGGGGCTGCGGCCGGGGCTGCGGCCGGGGCTGCGGGATTCACCGCCAGAGCCGTTCACTGGCCAAGATCAGGCGCTCAGACAACAAAGGAAGCTGTCCCCTTGGCACGGTCTCTTCCGATATTCCGGGTTCTCCGCCCAGAGGAAGAGAGCCAGTGGAGATCCAGCACGTCCCGGGTGCTGGCTGGTTGGGAAGGGGACCCCTGTGCCGTGAGGAGCCAGCCCACCAAGAGCACCAGGACCAGAGCGTCGGTAGGCCAGGGGCACAGGTCAGGGGTGAGGGGGTGGGAGTCACAGAGGCCCCGGCACTGTAAGCAGCTGGACCGCAGCTATTGGGAAGGGCCAAGGGGACACTAGCAGGCCTGGAGAGGTGCCTCGGGCACCCAGATCAGCGCTGCCTGGCGTGGGCAGTGCTGGACATAGGCTCTGGAAGGTCTCAAAAGCCGCTCCATGCCCACCTTGGAGGGCTGTGAAGCAGCGCTGTAGAGAATGATCGATGAGGCAGGGAGCCGGGGAGGAGCAGCTGGAGGGAGTCTGTGCAGAGCCACGGCCGGCCGGGAGCAAGGCCCATCCAGGGTCCCATTGTAACCATGGAGGGGTCTGGGTTCAGGGTGGCAGGACTTCCGATTTCTGTTTGCAAGCCTGTCTTCTCTAAGCTGGTCTGTAAAAAAATAGGAAAGGCAGACAAGTGCTGGTGGGTCACACTTGGAACCCCAGCTACTCAGGAGGCAGAGGACAAAGCCGCCCTGGGCCAAATGGTCACAAGACCCCATTTCAACAAAAAGCTGGGTGCGATGGCGTCTACCTGCCATCCCAGCTATAGCCGAGGCTGAGAGCAGGCTTCCAGGTAGCCTGGACAAAAACAAAGCTGGCGAGGCCTCATCAACAGAAAAGCCTGGGTACACCGGCCATCGCAGCGCCAGGGGGACAAAGATGAGGATCAGATTTGACCCTAAACAACAACAACAAAAAAGAGCAGAGGGGACTGGGGGCGTGGCTCAAGGGGTAGAGCGAGTGTCTGAACCCTGGTTCCTACCCTAGTGCTGTCCCCCTAAAAAATGGGGGAAAGCGAAGATCAAAGATCACCACAGGAACTGGAATATACTCACACACCTGCCACCTACGGACAGGTCTGCCCACGTGGCCCGGGGAACGGGAGGGGAGCGGCGGGCTCCGCACCCTGCGGGGGCATGTGGCCTTTCTCCTCGCCCTCCTGCGGAAGGCCACACCGCCCCGTCACTCGCGTGTAAGGGAAGCCACACTCCAAACCAGCGCGCCGGACCTCCGCGCTCGCATCCTGTCTCCTCGGCTCTGCCGTGCTTTCCTGCCCCCTCAGGGCAGAAGTGAGGGGGAAGATGGCCAGCAAGGGGCGCCGGCCCTGGCGTCCCCCGTGCTCAGCCCTGGCTGAGCATGCCTGTCAAGCAGGAGAGTTAATGCAGAAGGAAGTCGGGGTGGACGACACTGGAGCTGCCGAGGTCTCTGGATGGGCCTCCCGGAGGAGGTGGCCAGAACAGGAGGGGGGTTGGGCTGAGCAGAGCAGAGAAGGGGCCTGGGGCTTGGTGTGGGGACAGTGGGTAAAGACCCGGAGGAGGGGATTGGTGGTGCAGAGCGATGCACACTGGCTGATCTGCAGGTCGGCAGGGGGTGGCCTGGGGTCGCGTTGCCCGTGGGGTCACCCGCCGGGCCCGGCAGTGGGCGCGGTGTGCTGCCCGGGCCTCAGCCTCTTCTCAGACAGCATCCCGGGACTGCCAGCTTGCCAAGGACAGAGATTCTGGGTGTCTGTGGCACAGCAGGACCCACACCCTGGCGTGCGTGGGGAGGACGGAGCCGGAAGGGCCGGGAGTCCTAGAACCTCGTCTGTACATCACCTTAAGGATGAAATAAAATTACATTTAAAAAGGAAGTCATAGAAGGGACTGGGAGAGGACGCAGGAGTGCGCAGTGGGCCCGGCCCGGCCTGGCGCAGACATGCCCCACGCTGCGTAGGGGACCCTTGGTGGCTTCCTGGAAAAGCAGAGCTCACCCAGGGCCGTGTATTCTCCCAGCCCGTGCAGCGGGGAACCCTGGGCACACCGGGTGACTCCAGCCTGACCTACTGGTAGAAATGGAGGCCCGAGAAGGCCCCCACTTGTCCTCAGGCCCCCAGCAGGGCGGCCGTGGACGGGAGCGTAGCGGGAAATGGTCTTCCTGCCCCAAGGCCTCCCTCTCCCTCCTGCCACGGGGCTCCAGGACCCAGACACCCGTCGCCTGGGTTTGAAGTCAAGTCAGCCACTCACGGCCACGGCTCTACCACCTCTCTGGATCTCGTTTCCCTGACCTGCAGGGGTTCCTCAGTACCCTCCTGCCCTAGGCTGCCATGGGGGGCTGTGTGCTGGGGTGGGGGATGTGTGCTGGGGTGGGGG